CCCCCCCCCCCCCCGCGCCTCTTTCCTTTTTTTCTTTTTCCCTCTACCTGCCAACTTGGCACCGTCGCCGCCGCCGCCGCCGCCGTCGCCGTCGCTGCCATGGGCTCAAATGCTCCGCCGCCGAAGCATCCGGCCATGTCGGCCACTGCCATGCCGGCTGCTGCTGACTCGGATCCTGCAGCACTTACCCGCTCAACTGCTGCCTCGGCCACCATCACCAACACCAACACCAACACCAACACCGCTTCGGGCGGTGTGACTCCCGCTCCGGCCGGGCAACAGCCTGAGGCATTAGGCTCGGCAAATCACGCAACAATGCCCACTTCGCTCTCGAGCAGTGACCCCGGCCGGTCTCAAGCCCCCCTCCTGTCGACAGCTGGTGCATTTGCCCCGCCTGCTGACGCCCTCCCCGCCCCCGCGTCCTCGACCCCAGCCCCGAGCTTCCCCGGCCTGCCGGCCAACTTCCCCAACGCCTTTGATCCGTACCACATGCATCTCCTCTCGCAGCGGTATCCTCAACCATTGGGTGCTGGATTGCCCATGTTTCCGACTGTGGTGTCTGATCCTGGCACTGGAGGCTACAATGTGGCTCTGGCCAGCCTGGCTGGTCTTGGCGCCGGAACGCTGCCGTCTTCCTCCTCGACAGCCAACTCTGCCCTTTTGCACCCCTTTTATCTTCATCAGCACCAGCAACAGGCCCAACAAGTCCATGCTCAGCAGCAGCAGCAGCAGCAGCAGCAACAACAGCAACAACAGCAACAACAGCAGCAGCAGCAGCAGCAGCAGCAGCAGCAGCAGCAGCAGCAGCAGCAGCAACAGTTGTTCCAGCAACAGCAAAACACGAAGCAGCAGGCACAGCAGCAAGCACAGCAACAAGCACAGCAGCGTGCCGGGGTACCTCAGGCACCAGGGACTGGCGCTGTTCGTTCGCCTCCTTTCTTTTTGGCTGATCCTCCCCAGCCGCTGGGGCATTTGTTCGTCCCGATTGCCGCTGGTAGGCCGCCGATCCCCACCGCAGCACTTGGCCGCCCCCCTGCTGCAGGGTCCAGTCCGATTGGACCTCACGGCGGGGACGCATCTTTTTTGTCTGAACCCCCTCAGACGCCCAGCACCCCAAGCAGTGCCAGCACCAGTACAAGCGCCAATAGCGCGTCCTCTTCCGCTGGTGCTTCTGGGCACTCACACTGTCAGTGCAAGAATATCCCCTGCCTGAAGCTGTACTGCGAGTGCTTCGCCCGGGGTGTCCTCTGCCGGCCGGCCTGCACTTGCTCCTCCATTTGTCGGAACAACCACCACCATGAGCGGGTGCGTAGTCTGTGGCCTTCTCTTTTGAGCCATTGTTCTTCGCAGCACACGCCGCAAACACACAAACATGCACTTTGTGCTCGTTTGACTGACTTTTCTCGCCGGTCTCGCCACGAATAGGATCGTCTCGAGGCCGTATACTCGGTGCTTGACCGCAACCCGCACGCCTTCAAATCCAAGGTATTCTCCACGAGCTTTTTGCCCCCCCCCCCCCCCTCCTCCCTGCGAACCTCTGACATGCTGTCTCTGCGTGACCTCGCTCTGCTCAAGGATGAGACCCGCCCACATCGTGGTATGTAATGCACACTGGAATGAGTATCACCACTTGCTCCCGACTGACCTCCGCTCTCATGATGACATTAGGCTGCAAATGCAGACGCACACAATGCCGGAACCGGTATTGCGAGTGCGCTCAGCTCGGCGTCCGATGCTCTCCCCTCGTGTGCCGGTGCATTGATTGCCACAATGGCAAGTGTGATTCCCATTTTGATGCTGGTACATGCGCACATGCCCATACATACACACCGACGCGCACAGCCTCGGGCATTGGACATATATTTATATGCACATGATTTTTACGACCAATTCGCAAGCTGACTCGCCCTTCCTTGCGGGGAAAAAAAAAACAATCACACAATCAAACAACCACCCTGATTGCAGCCGCTACTGGTGGCAGTACCCCTGTCACTTTGGCAAGCGGCTGGGTGGATGAGGGGGCTTCCGCAGCACAGGAGCTCCGAGATCGCATGGCTCAGCCAGCCGCCTCCTCAAGTGACTTCGCCCCTGGCTCAGAGCCCTCGACACCCAGTACTCGCGATGTGACTGACGTGGCCACTCCAGCCGCGACCGGTACCATGGCGCCCCCAGGCTCAGGCTCCGGCAGTGGGGTGGTCACCGCTCGGGACTACTCGCCAGCCACAATGCGCGAATATCGCAATCCCTCCCATTCGGTTGCCTCCCGCAAGCGGAGGTACGCCCATGGCCTTTGGGGGGGGGTGGGGGTGGGGGGGGGGGCACATTTCCTTCACATGCCCTGACGCAAGGCACTGACCTGCTGGCCCCTCGTCTAGACAACATGCCATTGCTCTTCTCTCATCGAAGCAGGCGCTCTTGAAAGATCGCGCCCTCTTTTCATCCATCCTCTCAGAAGGCACTCTCCAGGAGGCCGTTCGCACGCTGGTCGATTGCGCCGCGCATCCCCTGGCTGTCCGTGCCGCCACGGGAATGCCTTTCACAGAACAACCCACCCCGGCCGAGGGGACTGTGGCCCGAGGTGATATGGCCGGCACCATGGAGGATGTCTCCACCTCGGAGGTTGCCGGCTCCACTGTCACTGACAACCCGGCTGGAGACACCCGCTCTGTCGCGCGCAAACGCTCAGCCGATGCGTGGCCCCCGGGGACTTTCGCTCCGAAGCGGCGACGTCACTTGATCCCGGTCTCGGAGTCCCTCAAGTCGGCTCCCGCCTCTGTGACCGAAGTCTCCGCCACCATGGCCCCACTCAAGCCCGAGGATGGGGCTCTCAAAACCGAGTCGCTGTCTGATGGCGGGAGGCCTGCAACTCCGATTGCAGCTCCGCCTGTGGCTCTGACCTCACCTCCTATTGGCTCCTTGGCAAACCGCGGCGACCCTCTGGCAACAGCAAGTGCCCTTGTGACGGCCGAGCTGCATGAGCTCAGTCAGCTGGCGGCTCGCTCTGCCGAAGACCAGGCCATCGATGCCACGGTCGCCTACAACACCCTGACCGAACTCACGCACATCCTAAATCGTGTGTGTGATACCGTCATCGGGCTCAAGCGTGCGTTTAGCCTTCCCCCCTCCTCCGCCTTCCTCCTCCTCCTTCTCCTCTTCCCTCTCTCTCACACACACACATACACATACATGCATGCATATGCACATGCACGCCTCTTCCTTGTCATGTGCACCGTTCTATCCTTGAACTCTAAATGACCCATTTACCCACACCCACGCCCGCCCCCCCCCCCCCCCCACACACACACACACACACACAGCTCCAACCAAACCTGCACGTGGCGGTATCCGAGCTGCTGCAGCTGCTGCTGCTGCCGCTGAGGCTGCTGCCGCATCTCTATCAGCCCTGTCTTCTCGCGCCCCCTCCTTGTGATGTGCGCGCGCGTCCCTCTGCGGCAAATAGACCTCCCTTCCCATAGTTGCTTCGCCTCCTACATGGCCCCATACACATCGATGTACATAGACACATGCAAACGCCCCCAGCCATGTGAGCGTAGAGCCACGAGAAGTTGCTTACACACACACACACACACACACACACACACACACAGACTGGAATGTAAGGAGATTCTATGGTGTATTAAATATGGTCATATCCCATGGGGAGGAAGGGGGAAGGAGACAGGACGGGCCCCCTCCGCCGCTTCCGGAGACGCGCCAGCCAGCTGGGAGGAGAGAAAGAGACTGGCGGATACAGGCGGACAGAGAGACAGAGAGAGAGAGAGAGAGAGAGAAACACATGGAGGGAAGACTTCCCAAGTGTGGGTTTTGCTGGACAGGGCTAGGGGACAAAAGCCGGGAAGGGCTCCACAATTTGCTGACTCCCCCCCCCCGCAGCAAGTTTAACACACATGGTCACACATGTGGCGTCCCTCTACTTGCGGGACTTCTTCTTGCCGTCGCCGGCCCCGGTGGAGGAGGCCTTGCGCTTCTTGGCACCAGCAGCCGGCGAGGGCGCGGCGCCGGTGGCCCCGGCGTCCGCCTCCGCACCGGACCCCTTCAGGCGCCGGGCCCGCACACTGTCCGGGTTGGCCACAGACAGCGACGCACCATCGACAAGAGCCGAGGCCCCCTCAGCCAGCGAGGCCGCCCAGGCCTCCTCATCCTGAGGCAGGGCAAACTTGCTGACATCCATGGACTTGAAGACACGACGCTGCTCGGCGCGAAGTTCCTCCCGGGCAGCATCGGTCAGGTCGTCAGTCAGAGACTGCCCGACCGCCGACCAGGCAGCCGACTTGCTGGCATCCCGCGGACCAGTGCCAGCGGCACCGGTGCCCAGGTCCCCGGCCGAAGTGACAGCCGCCAAGCGCGGCATGGTCGACTCGTACGCCTGGGCATTCAGATCGGCGTAGTACTTGGCGATCTTGCGCACGCTCTTGTTGAAGAGGGCCAACACCTGCGACACCGACAGGCTGAGGTCCTTCTCCAGCTGCTCGACCGACTTCCGCTGCAGGCCAAGAGCCAGCATGACGGCCGACTGGACCGGCGAGAGGTTCACAGCCGCCGGCGGAGCGGGCCCGGCCTCGCTGGCAGGCGCCTCGGCCGCCAGCTGCCCGGTGAACAGGTGCATCGTCATGGCCGGCACCAGGTCCAGGATCATGTGGTAGTCAACCAGATTGCGCGAATACGCGTCCAGGCGCTTCAGATCATACGGACTCAGGACGGCCAGCATCTGCTCGCGACACAGGCGCCCAGTGTTCGGCAGGGGGACCCCGGCGCTGGAAGTAGCCAGGACCTTGGACACGTGGGTGTTGTTCAGCAAGTCCATGGCCAGGGCAGGCGAGAAGTTGCGGAACTGGTACGACAGCAGGGTGGTAAAGCGCCGCGAGAAGTCGGTCCAGAACTCGCTCAGCCAGCTGTTGGACAGGCTGGTGATCGGATCCGCGCGGTTCAGCTGCGACAGCATGATGCAGGTGTGCTCGCCAGTGAGATCGTTCTGTGAAGGGCCGGAAGAAGAGGGGGGAGAAGGTTAATGCATGAGCAGGAGAAGGAGGGGAGAGGGGGGAGAGAGAGAGAGAGAGAGAGAGCGCGGGTGTGCGTGTGTGTCTGTGTGTGTGCGTCTGCGGCGAGGGTGAGTGGGCTCAACCGGAGGCGCCCAGCTGGAGGGAAGACGTACGGGAGTCTGACGCAGGTAGACAGGCACAAAGGTGGCGCGCTTCCAGAACCTGCAGGGTGGCAGGGAGGAAAGAGCAGGACAAAGGGACACACAGAAAAATAGAGAGGACGAGGGAGAGGTCAGACAGTTGCTTCGGTGAAGGAAAGGCCGAGGCAGAGAACGCACTTGTGAAGCTGGGCAGTGAGGCCGAAGGACACACCCAGGTAATGGATGCGCTCCGGGGTGCGCTCCGTCAGCTTGCGCAGGAGAGGAGGGAGGTTCTTACGAGGACGGATGACTTCCGTCTGGAGAGTATCCTGCAAGGCAGCCGAAAAGAAGAAGAGGGAGGAGATGGTAAAAAAGTGTCAGGAAGGAAGAATGGGACTCACGGGCAAAGGGGCTGAAAGGATGGACGCTGATGCATGCCCCGTACCGAGGAACTGATCTCATCCGCGAGCGAGGTGCGCGAAGTGGGCTTCTGGCTCACAGTGGAGCTCATGTCCGGGAACTTGCCCTCGTAGTACTCGCGCAGGAGGTTCAACGCGCGAGAGCCATAACCCATCTAAGTGGACAGATGAAAGTACAACCCGGATGGTCAGTTGAAGGGAGGAAGGGGGGAAGGGAGGAAGGAAGAGAGAAGGAGAGAAAGGGGGAAACTCGTGGAAGAGATCGGCAGCGCACGTTTTGGTAATCCGGATGCGTGGCGATGCGGACCACGCGAGCGCCAGACATGCTCCCGAAGTCGGACTCCTGGAACTGTGAAGACAATGATCAGAGGGCAGATAACGGGGCGGGGTGAGTGAGCCTCGACGTGTGTCACAAAAAGCCGGGTGTAAAGGGCAGGAGCAGGATGTCAAGGGAGAAAGAAGAAGAAGAAGAAGAAGAAGAAGAGGAGGAGGAGGAAGAGGGAGAGGAGGAGGAAGAGGGAGAGGAGGGCACTCACCTGCTGCGCAATGGTCCAGGGGATCAGATCACCGGACAGGCGCTCCCCACGAGCCAGGCTATGAGCCATGGACTCACGGGAAATGGCGCCCTCCAGGGCCACCTGCACCACAGCCAGGATCTCCGGCAGATCGCCGGAGCCCGGATCCACCGGGGCCAGCAGAACAAAGATGTTGTGCGCCGGGGCGTCGGACAGGAGCTGCAAGTCGTTCGGCGAGTTCTTGTAATGCGACGCCACATACAGAGCCACCAGGCGCTGAAGGAAGGACTCGGCCGCCGGGTGGAAGGAAAAGAGGGTGTCGCGCTCGACGAAGTAGAGCTCACACTCGCTGGGGTGCGGGCAGCCCGTGGACAGACGCGGGACCGAAGTGCAATCCAGGCAGAGAATGTCATTCAGCCACTTCTCAATCGGATCGCCGGCCGCATAACGGATGGGCTCCTCGAGCTTAATCTCGCGGAGCGAGCGCGATGTGGCCAGCTGGGCGGTCGATGCCGCGGTGTCGGCCTTGGCCGAGACGCTCTGCTCGCGCAGCTGCTGCAGGAGCTTCAGCGAAAGCGACCGACCGGTGCCCTCATAACTGACGGGGGGGAGGGGGGGGGGGTCAGCCAAGGGTCCAAAAGAGCAGGCACATGTGAGCAGGCAGGGGCAATGTGAAGGACACCCGCGCACCCGTTGATGGTGGACGCCAGGAACACCAGATACGGTCCCATCAGGGCGCGCACAAGCGGCAGAGGAATGGCCGCCGCCTCATCGATGACCACCAGCTCCGCTTGGCCGAGAACATGGGCGTCCTGAGGCTGGATGTACTGGATAGTCTGCCGGTGCTCGCGGAAAATGTTCACACGGACCACGGCCTTGTTGAAATCGGGGTTGGTTGACTGGACAATGTCGTAGTCAATGTGCTCCTCGTAGCCCAGCAGGTCAAAGCCCTTGAAGACAAACTCGAAGAGGGTCTTCAGGTTCTCCGGCGAGGGGGAGGTCACGAAGATGTTGGAATAACTGCCACACAGGAAGAGGAGAGGGCGGGCGGGAGGCGGCATAGGGGGCACGAAGAGAGGGAGACGGGGAAAGGAAGAAAGCCAGGATGTTAGAGGGTCAACCGGGATGGGCTCTTTGAATGAAGGAGAGAACGGGCAAGTGTCACGCACCCGTAGGCCACAGCAGCGGCCATAGCCAGACCCAAGGAAGCAGACTTGCCTCGACCACGCCCGGCAGTCAGGGACACCGTGGTGCGCAGGGTCTTCTCAGAGACGGCCTCGGTGAAGGCGAGGATGGCCTTGGCCTATGGGATTAAACGGTGCGGAAAGAGGGGGCACACCAAGAGAGGGAGAGGAATGGGGTAACCATAACCATAACAGTGGGTGGGTGGTTAGCGGACGGCACAATGACCATGCGGGGGGGGGGGGGGGGGGGGGCAAGAAACAAGGGCATCGGGAGAAACCAACCTGATCCACGGTCCGAGCACCCTTGACCAGAGCACCGACCGGCTGGACGTCAGCCAGGGACTCTTGCAGAGCCTCCAGCTCCGGATCCAGCTTGCGGTGGGCCTCAGAGTCCGGGGCCGGCACAGCCACCAGGCCATTCAGATGGCTGGAAATCGGCAGAAGGTTCAACTCATCGTCCAGGACCATGCAGTTGCTGCACTTCGACAGGGAGAGCAGGAAGCGCTCGTTGAAGCGCGCGACAACATCCTGATGGGCCTCGGTGCGATAGCGGGAGTGAACGTCCTACGGGGGGGGGGGAGGCGGGACGGGGCCAGGCAAAGTGGGACACAGCGCCAATCCAACGTGTGAGAGGGGAGGACAGCGCAAACAGGATGGACAATACACCAGGAAGGAAGGCCGGTCCGGGCCCAAAGACATACCATGCTCATGGTGACCAGCTGACGGAGCGAGTCCATGGTCTTGAGCAGCAGGACAATGATGCCGCCCCCCTCGACTGTCTCGATGGTACGGGCCAGGATGTTCGGCGTCAGGGCCTCGAAGTCCTGCAGCACGCACATGCCGTAGGTGTTACCAAGGACCTTGTGCGACTCCTTGTAGTAGCAGTAGCGGATGTTGGTCGAGGTGACGAAGAGCTCGAACGGGTCCTCGCGGTCCGGGTCCAGCAGGCCGCGCTGCGCCAGCTTCTTCATCTGGCGCATGCGCTTCTGGCGATGGCTGCTGAAGCCGAGCTCCTTCTTGTAGCACCAAAGGACCGACGGGCGCTGGCGCACAGACGCCTTGGACAGCATGTAATGCAGGTTGACCACCTGGTCACGGCCCTTATCGCCGAGCATGACCACCAGCGTACGCTGGCGCGTGTGCACGCCATTCTCGATGAGCGTGCGGACGCGGTTGTCCACCCGCTTGCGAATCATGTTGGAGGACATGGTGGCGGCCGGAAGCGAGATCTGCGAGGGGAGAGGGGGGATGTCGCGCGTGCTCCTTGCAGTGCAATGAGGGGGGAGAGAAAGAGAGGAGGAGGGATACGGGGCTGGGAGCGGACCGAACTGGAGAGGGGAGCAGGGCACAGAAAAGAGGGGGAAGCGGAGGGAGGGGGGTGAGGGAGGGAAGACGGCGCTGTCAGGCCGGACAGGTCCCGGGGAGGCTGCAGCCCGCCAGCCCATGAAGGGATACGGCTCGCATCAGATTGCCCCCTCCCCCCCCCCCCCCTCTCCGGCGCCAGCCGCGGCAGCATCGAGGGTGGGAGTTACAAGTTCCCCGACGGGCGAAACTCCTTTCCGCAGGAAGTAACCATCGCAGGGGGCAGGGAACGACCACCTGCGTGCCGCCGTTTCCAGCGCGCGCCCTCCGCCCCCTCTCCCCTCGCCCCCCGGGCTTGCCCTCGTTCCACAATCAGCCTTGCCACGCGCTACTTTGGGCGAGGTCCACGAGGCGCACAGCCAGTGGTTCTGAAAGTAGACACATCAGAACGCAGCTGCCAATGCACATTCACTGCTCAATGAGAGTCACATGATGTGGGCGGCTCATCCTCCTATTTCCAGGACTACCGTCCGAGGATCAAAAGGGGGGGGGGTGCCACACCCCCTCTCTTCAGCCCCCATTCTCCCCCCCCCCCCCTCCCTCTCTTCCTCCTCTTCACACGCTTTCCTCCCCACACAACACTTGCTGCCACCAAACCGCCCGAATAGCGCGCTGCACAGGGCCAAAAGGAAACACCATGTCTAATCAGAGCCAGGCGTCGTTGATTGTCAGCCGCCAGTTGCCGCCCGATCTCCGGCGCATCCGTGCTTGCACTGGCTGCAAGTTCCTCAACGTGCGTCCCCTCTAAATGGTGGCAGAAGAAGGCAATTCCCCGTCGCACTTGCTCCCCCCCCCCCCCCCTCGATGCCCTTTTCCCCCCACTGACACCTACCTTGCATGGCCAGTCGCTGGACAACTTCAATGACTTTGGCTGCCCTAACTGCGGCCCCGGGGTGCCGATCACCCGGACATACACCGGGTGCGCTCCACTCTCCTCCCCCCCCCCCCCTCCCATCAGCCCTCCCTCTACCCACCTGCGCTCCTCCCTTCTATTGACACATTCACGCATCCACATGCGCACGCACGTGTGCACCTCCTTCCTTTCCTCGGGCCACCAGCACCCTCGCCATCACGAACCCCAATGTAAGCTGGGTCGCCAAGTGGAAGAACATCCGTGCGTGTATCCCCGCCCCCTACCCCTATCCCCCCCCCCTCCTGTTTGCTTTGCCCCGGCCAAGTATCCAGTCCATTGACCCGCTCCATGACGGTGCATGTGTGGCTGCCCCTCCCTGTTGGCATGTGCTCTATGGACCATGTACAGCCGCCAATGCTGCCATCGGCCTCTACGCTCTTGAGATTGCGGCTCCCGTTGCCGGCGTGCGTCAGGAGAACGAGGAGGAGGATGAGTACTACGAGGATGACTATGAGGATGAGGAGGAGTTCGAAGCCGGTGGCCGCTATTACAGCGACGATGATCTTTGAGCACCCGAATGTCCCGCGCATGGGTGTATCCACTTTGCCTCTTTTTGTCTTGCGCAAGCACGCCCTCCAGCCCTGTCACCACCGTCACCCCACCTTTGTACACTAGACCCCCATGATACCAGTGCTCTCCTCCCCCCCCCCCCCCCTGTGCCTCCTAACCCTGATCCCCGCTCCTTCCGTTGATGGCGAGGTGAGAGAGAGAGGGAGAGATACCAGAGGGCAAAACAGCAGGCATGACCGACAGGCGATCAGGCAGCGTGGAGGCGATCGAACTGAGAAATGCATTTGCAGGGAGCTCGGAAACAGTGAACTCCGAAAGGAAAGCAGGAAATCGGAAGAGACGGAGTACTTTTGGCAAGACAACGAACACCATGGGCCCAAGTGTCGGGTGTGGAAATGACATAGAGAGAGAGAGAGAGAGAGGGGAGAGGGCGGGGAGGAGGAGGAGGGACACAGAGAGGGATGATAACCTCCTACCACTTGAGCTCTCCCGAGATGCGCCCCCAGACGGAGTCCGGCTCCCCGGGAGCGCTCATGACGCAGCAGTTGAGCGACACCCGCCAGCGCCCCTTCGTGTGGTTGACCCGATCATACAGACAAACCAGCGTATGAACGTGTGACCCGGCGGGGAAATCCTCATCGGAGTCGTCGGCGTCCGAGTCCTCATCATCATAGAAGTCGCCACCGGAAGGATCGGCCGCAGTGTCCGCGTCACCGTCCACCTGCTGCAGCTTCTCCGTGAGGAAGTCCTCAATCTGAGTGACCAGATCCTGTGTATGTCGGCGGATGAGGGGAGAAGGGGGGGGGGGGATGAGTCCTAATGCCCGGTGCAAAAAAGGCAGAAAAAGGGGGGAGAAAGGTGGACCGGAACCCAAAGGGAAAGGCCGAAGGGGGGCGTACCTTCCCCGGCTCGAGGCTGATCGTGGCCTTCCGGCTGGGAGCCGGGACAATGGCTGTGGTGGCTTCCGGGCCGGTCTGAGAAGCCAGGACCAGCTCGGCGATGGCAGCGTCACCATCGTTCTGGGGGATATTCTAGGCATCCGGTTCCAGGCAGGGAGAGGGCGGTGCCAAGAAGAGGGCAAAAAGCAATCCAACGGAGGAGGTGAGGAAGATAGGAAGGAGAGACGGGAGGGGTATGGGGGGGGGTGCTCGCTCCGGGCAGTGGGGGCGGAAACCTACCGAGTTGAGGGGGTGCGGCACCTGGTGGTGCAGGTAGTGTGCCTCAGAGGGCCCGGTCCCGGCGTCATCACCATGGTCATGGGAGGACGCCACAATATGGGGGTTGATCATGGCCTGGTCCAATTTGTGGCTCCAGAGCTGGCGGGCCCGGAAGGCGAAGTGGTGGGACCATGTCAGCACCGGCCGAGAAAAAAGAAGAGACAAGAGGCCAAAGGCAAAGATGAGAGGGCCGGAGGCCAGCGCACCTCATGGAGCCGGCGCCAAGTGCCCTCATCGGGGACCTCGTGGCCAATGTCATTGCGGCTGGCAACGATCACGGCCTCCAGGACCTTGCGATAGAGGGGGAGCTTAAGCACGGAAGCCGGCAGGGCGGGGGAGGGGGGATAGAGTGAGATGGGCGGGGTGGGGGGGGGGGGGACGCCAGGCAGCGCGAAGCCAGGTTCCACCAACCGAGCAGGGACAGCAAGTGGAAATGGTGTCTGTATTGACGGGCGTAGTCGTACAACGTCGGCCATGGTGTATGGAGTCGGGTTGGGAGAGGGCGATGGGGAGAGGAAGCAGGGAGAACTGGGCTCGGGGCGGGAGGCAAAGCGAAGAGGCGAGGGCGAAGCAAAGGAAGAGGAAGGATGGTCTGGGAGGGGGGGAGGGGTGTTGCCAACGGGCCCCTTCCCAGTGGTCTTCTGGCAGGGTCGAAAAAAGCTCCCCCCCC